CCTGTTCTTCATTTTCTCTCTCCTTCAAGAACGTTCTCACCCACACCCTGTTCTCATTTTCTCTCTCCTTCAAGAACGTTCTCACCCACACCCTGTTCTTCATTTTCTCTCTCCTTCAAGAACGTTCTCACCCACACCCTGTTCTTCATTTTCTCTCTCTTCAAGAACGTTCTCACCCACACCCTGTTTCTTCATTTTCTCTCTCCTTCAAGAACGTTCTCACCGTTCTTCATTTTCTCTCTCCTTCAAGAACGTTCTCACCCACACCCTGTTCTTCATTTTCTCTCTCCTTCAAGAACGTTCTCACCCACACCCTGTTCTTCATTTTCTCTCTCCTTCAGAACGTTCTCACCCACACCCTGTTCTTCATTTTCTCTTCCCTTCAAGAACGTTCTCACCCACACCCTGTCTTCATTTTCTCTCTCCTTCAAGAACGTTCTCACCCACACCCTGTTCTTCATTTTCTCTCTCCTTCAAGAACCCACACCCTGTTCTTCATTTTCTCTCTCCTTCAAGAACGTTCTCACCCACCCCTGTTCTTCATTTTCTCTCTCCTTCAAGAACGTTCTCACCCACACCCTGTTCTTCATTTTCTCTCTCCTTCAAGAACGTTCTCACCCACACCCTGTTCTTCATTTTCTCTCTCCTTCAAGAACGTTCTCACCCACACCCTGTTCTTCATTTTCTCTCTCCTTCAAGAACGTTCTCACCCACACCCTTCATTTCCTCTCTCCTTCAAGAACGTTCTCACCCACACCCTGTTCTTCATTTTCTCTCTCCTTCAAGAACGTTTCTCACCCACACCCTGTTCTTCATTTGAACGTTCTCACCACACCCTGTTCTTCATTTTCTCTCTCCTTCAAGAACGTTCTCACCCACACGTGTTCTTCATTTTCTCTCTCTCTTCAAGAACGTTCTCACCCACACCCTGTTCTTCATTTTCTCTCTCCTTCAAGAACGTTCTCACCCACACCTGTTCTTCATTTTCTCTCTCCTTCAAGAACGTTCTCACCCACACCCTGTTTCTTCATTTTCTCTCTCCTTCAAGAACGTTCTCACCCACACCCTTCTCCTTCAAGAACGTTCTCACCCACACCCTGTTCTTCATTTTCTCTCTCCTTCAAGAACGTTCTCACCCACACTGTTCTTCATTTTCTCTCTCCTTCAAGAACGTTCTCACCCACACCCTGTTCTTCATTTTCTCTCTCCTTCAGAACGTTCTCACCCACACCCTGTTCTTCATTTTCTCTCTCCTTCAAGAACGTTCTCACCCACACCCTGTTCTTCATTTTCTCTCTCCTTCAAGAACGTTCTCACCACACCCTGTTCTTCATTTTCTCTCTCCTTCAAGAACGTTCTCAACCCACACCCTCTTCATTTCTCTCTCCTTCAAGAACGTTCTCACCCACACCCTTTTCTTCATTTTCTCTCTCCTTCAAGAACGTTCTCACCCACACCCTGTTCTTCATTTTCTCTCTCCTTCAAGAACGTTCTCACCCACACCCTGTTCTTCATTTTTCTCTCTCCTTCAAGAACGTTCTCACCCACACCCTGTTCTTCATTTTCTCTCTCCTTCAAGAACGTTCTCACCCACACCCTGTTCTTCATTTTTCTCTCTCCTTCAAGAACGTTCTCACCCACACCTGTTCTTCATTTTCTCTCTCCTTCAAGAACGTTCTCACCCACACCCTGTTCTTCTTTTCTCTTCATTTCAAGAACGTTCTCACCCACACCCTGTTCTTCATTTTCTCTCTCCTTCAAGAACGTTCTCACCCACACCCTCTTCATTTTCTCTCTCCTTCAAGAACGTTCTCACCCCACACCCTTTTTTCATTTTCTCTCTCCTTCAAGAACGTTCTCACCCACACCCTGTTCTTCATTTCTCTCTCCTTCAAAGAACGTTCTCACCCACACCCTGTTCTTCATTTTCTCTCTCCTTCAAGAACGTTCTCACCCACACCCTGTTCTTCATTTTCTCTCTCCTTCAAGAACGTTCTCACCCACACCCTGTTCTTCATTTTCTCTCTCCTTCAAGAACGTTCTCACCCACACCCTGTTCTTCATTTTCTCTCTCCTTCAAGAACGTTCTCACCCACACCATTTTCTCTCTCCTTCAAGAACGTTCTCACCCACACCCTGTCTTCATTTTCTCTCTCCTTCAAGAACGTTCTCACCCACACCCTGTTCTTCATTTTCTCTCTCCTTCAAGAACGTTCTCACCCACACCCTGTTCTTCATTTTCTCTCTCTTCAAGAACGTTCTCACCCACACCCTGTTCTTCATTTTCTCTCTCCTTCAAGAACGTTCTCACCCACACCTGTTCTTCATTTTCTCTCTCCTTCAAGAACGTTCTCACCCACACCCTGTTCTTCATTTTCTCTCTCCTTCAAGAACGTTCTCACCCACACCCTGTTCTTCATTTTCTCTCTCCTTCAAGAACGTCTTCACCCACACCCTGTTCTTCATTTTCTCTCTCCTTCAAGAACGTTCTCACCCACTT